GTGCATTCTGAAACAGATTGTATCAAGCACCTTATCTGTAAATTACCTTCACTAGAGAATGTTGGTTTTGCACTGGAGTTGTAATGTCCAGTAGTATCTTCTGCATTGATGGGAATGTTTTTTAACTGCACTGTACAACTTGGGAGCCTTTAGCCACATGTGGCTATTGAGCATTTGACATGTGGCTAGCATGACTTGAGAAACTGAATTTTTAATTTTACTTCATTATAATTTAAAATAGCCACATATGGCTAATGACTACCATATTGGACAGCTCAGCATGTGAGCACCTTTTTTTGTTAGTTATAATTGATTTTGTGAAATTAAATCTTGGGAAATTCCTCTTGCGGAAAATTTTACATTTTTACATTCACTGGTGCTGACTCAAGGGAGTGTTTCTAGGCAGAATCTTTTGCTTTCCAATGTGGAGGTACTTGTCCTGATTTTATGATCTACTTAGCAAAGGGGTTGAAGTACGGAGGAATATTTAGGGTTAAACAACTAAAACTCTTTACTTGGGCTCTTCTAACAGAATCTTCTCTAGTGTTTCCCAGACATCAGAAATTGTAGTGAATGTTGATTAAAGTGAGAGATTCAGCTTTCCTAGTGAAGACTGGACTCAGGATATTGGCAACTAGATAATAGCAGTATTTTGATTTTGGTCATGGCATTCAATTACAGTGATGGAAAACAAACAAACAAACAAACAATATTAGTTAGTCTTATTTTCTTAGCTTCCTTCCAAAACGAGTTTTGAGGTGACCTACTGGGATGTTTAAACATCACAACTTAAAATGAGTAAATAAAGAATTTGGATGAGGGAAAACGTGGATCACTCACATACATGTGTTTTCCTTCATGGGTAAAGATTAAGTCACTGACCATTGACTTGGGCAAATGGTTTTGAATCAGTATTTCCAGAATGGTGCTTCTGTTGACCTGACTCATACTTCCATTCTCACTTCATTCCTCTCTGTGGTCACGAGTAGGATGTGTGAGACAGCAGTCACCATCCCATGTGGGTAAATGCTGCCAACTGCCCCTGTTGTCAGAACTGGCTTTAACATTTGAATTGACCTGCCAAGGGCAAGTCACTTTAGGCCAATGAGGACTTTCATCCTTTGGTAGAAAGTACTAGATCAACTTTCTAAAACCTGGTAGGTGAATCAACACGCCAAAACAGAGGGAGGATAAAAAGAAAAAAAAAAAGAAAGGAAAAAGAAAGAAAGGAAGGAAAAATCGTGACCAACTCACATTAAATTCAGTTTTATCTCAAAATAAGTGTCTAGTTTTATCATTCCATTGAGAACAACATTTAAACAAAGATAGGAACTAAATGGCAGTTTGTATCACTGAAGTTTAAGGAAATATGGTAAACCTATAGTTTTCCTAGGTGAGGAGTAAAAAATAACAACTGCCCATTGTAATTTATATATGTATATATAAGATTAAACTTATGGTGGAGGAAAAGGATTTCTATAAATTGTTTCTCTCATCATGAAATCAGGGATTTCTGCTGCTTTCTATAAGTGTGTGTGTGTGTGTGTGTGTGTGTGTGTGTGTGTGTGTGTGATTCACAGTTCTGGTGCATACACTGGCATGAATATTTAACAGCGGCAAACGCTGATCATTCCGAACTTTGGTTTTGTCATTTGGGAAAATGAAAGATTAAGCAGTAGTTTAAGCTGTCACACAAGATGTTTGTGACTGTGTGACTGATGAACTCAACGCATCAAGTGCAGAAGTTCAAGGTTAAAAGTGTTGTATTATGGAAAGAACACTATATCTCTTTTAAGGAATATTTCAGAATATTGATTTACAAAGCAACCTCTTATTGTAAAGACTCTCTTTCTGCAGGGTTCAAAAGAAAGTGAAAAATATGAAGTTGCTTTTAAAATTATCTTAATTAACTGTTTCCAGAGAGCCTAGATTTATGTCTGGACCAACCTGAACCACTCCTTTGGAATTTATTAAGTTCATTAAAAATATATGCCTCACCTTAATGAGCACCAATCAGCCAGGCCCTGTGCTAGGCAATTTGTATACATTATCTCTAATCTAGTATGATAAGCTTCAACTGACAACTACCTGTTTAGAATTCCTATTTATCTGTATAAATTGTTAAAACAAATGTTTCCGAGTTTACATTTTAATTTAATTTTCAAAAATCCAAATTTTTGAAATGAATGGTCTTACTTTCTCAGATAGTCTCTATTAATAAATATTCTGTTAACAAATAGGGTTACTTCAGTATATTTTTCGAATTCACAAATTTGTACTTTTGCGAATACACAGCTATCTTGTGAGTAGAGCAAAGTAATATTTAATATGTTTGCTCTATAGTTCAATTCTAAATTCTAAATATAAACTAACAGAAACAAACATCAAAAAGGGACAGAGTTTATAAGCTTTAATGATCACTATCTTCTTTATCTTATCTACCTTCTTTATTTAATAACTTACTCAGTGTCTAATAACTATTCAATATTCAGTGAATGTTTTCTAATTTGTTGACTTTAATGATATGTAAGAAACTTGGGATAGTGATACAGTAATTGCTCTGAAATCAGAATAATTTGTTAAAATTTAACTCGTAAAACTGTGTAATTCAAAATTACATAGGCTATGAAATATGTGCTGCTAGATACAGGCGGAGTTTTATATACAAAGGGCTTGAATTTATATCTTTTTCAGTTCCCACCCCATGGAAGCTTCAAAATGCTTTCCTCAAATATTAGTATTTCCAGAAGTGTGACATTCCAATGTATGAAGCAACACTGTCATAAATAATAACAAAACAACTCTTCTAATCTATAGAAATATGTGTAAATTTACTACATATTTTGATGTTCATTACTGTCAAGATAATTTTATAATAAGCAAAATAGTAATAAACATTCATATTCTAAATGCAATAGTTTTTATTAAGAAAAGAAGGCATGAAATAGCTATTTTCTCAAGAAGCATATCAACTTATTTTTCTCTTCAAGATGTTATGTTAACCCTTTCCTTGACTAATTTCTGAGATTTTAGGATCAAACAATGCAATGAATACATTTGCAGAGCATGACTTGTGACACAGCTAAAAATAATTTAAAATTATTAATTAAAGCTCACTATTATTTGTGGACATATTAAACCATGTCATTGATTTCAACCACAACTTATTTTTACTTCCAAGTTTTCTAAAGGGGCACCAACAAAAAAATTGATTTTGGTTCTCGAACTTTTCATCAAAAGAGAAATTTTCAGCAATGCTAAACTCAAGATAGGTATTTCACCAAAGTTTTATGGATGTCCTCTCTAAGAGCGTTTACACACTCACACTCAATATACTATCAGGTGGACAATAATAGAAGTTCATGATGTGCTCTGGTGAATGTAGACTTATTATATTTTGTTTGTTTTAACATCTGCCCTGTTTCCTGACTTGTACTATTTTTATTTTAATTGGTTTGCTGATTCAAACTTGCTATTGTTGGCCTTGCTAATGTTAAGAAACATTTCAAGAGGGGTGTAAAAAGAGAGGGAAAAATACTGTGTTTTGTTAATTTGGCTCCAGCTGATTTTATACCTGGAAGCAGGAGGGCTAATGTTTTTTTGGTATGGTTAATTAAATCCTGTGCTGATGGCTTCTCTTCTAGATATTAAGTCACCCACCTTGTTAGCAGATCCTCTGGTCCAGTAGGGTTGGATTTACCATTGGGGAATCATTCTTAAAATGTTTACCTTGTGTTCAGGTAATTGATTGAGGGCAGGATGATGGTCCGTGTGCATTTGACCAGAGAATTAATTGTGAGATATGTAAAGATGATTCGTATGGGGTCTCACTCCGCTTTGTTTTAAAAACAAGATGATAGGCAAGTAATTGGCACAGACAGGAACCTCCCCTTTCTGTCTCTTAGAACTCTTTTCCACGAGAAACAAAAATTCTACCGCATTTTGTTTTCCTAATGCTTCTTGGATTCTCACCAGCAGGTTTTACAGTCTGTTGCCTGCCTCTCAGATTAGAAGAATGCTCGCATATTTTAACGGTTTCCTAGGATTCAAACAGCCTTTAATTAACAGAAAATTGATGTTTTGGAATGTTACCAAAATATGGGAGATGGAACACTGTGGTGGGCTTCTGACCTTCAAGCCTCTGAGTGCAGTGAAATTCTTCTATAAGGGGGCAAAATTCTGAGCTGTTGCAAACAGTTGGTTGCCTACTGGTACGCAAAGAGGGTGTCTTTGTTGGCATAATAGTCCCACTGCCTGCTCATCGGTGAATTTCCGAAGTCCACCTACTCATGACTGGGAAGGAGGCAGGTAGCCCTTGAATGCTTAAAGCCATAGGAGTGCTGAATAGCTCAGGGATTGCTCAATTTGTAGCTGGGTTCACTTGTTTTAATCCTCCAGTTGCCAGGGCAGTAAGGTACAGCTGCCTGTGTTTGCAGTTAAGTTTCTTTTTTGTGCCAGGTTCATGTCATCTACTGCCGGAGTTTTGGATGTGATGGAAAAGAGCAGTTCTGTAAAGTAATCACTCAGACTAGATGCACATTCTGAGCAGGAGTTAGTTTGCAAAGAGGGATGGGAGGTGTAATGGAGGGGTTTCCCTTTTGAATTGAGGGATTTTGGTGACAGACTTGTAACTGACCTAAGCCAGGGCTATAGGCAGGAAAAGGATAGATTGGGTAGTATGAATTGTTTCAAATGTTAACTGTTACTTACATAACCAGATAGTTATAATCCAAGGAGGAAAACGGAGCAGCTCAACCAGTTTCCTCTGCCTAATGGCAAATCTGCTATCGGCCAGTTCCCAGTTGAGGTCAGTACGCTCCATGCCTTGTTTTTTCCACTGACCCACAAAGCTGGCCTTCTGTCTCAAAAGAGACCTTGGTTGTTTTTTTTGTTTGTTTGTTTTCTTTTCTTTTTTTTTTTTTTCTTTTTTTCCTTTTTTTTTTTTTTTTTTTTAATGTGCTCAATGTCCCTGATTGCTCCCTTTGCTCTCCTCTCTGCAGGTGGTACATGCCAGAGCCCTGCTCTCCCAGCCCTGGTCCGTCCACCAGCCCCTCCTTTGCAACCATCGCTGGATATTAAACCATTTCTTCCTTTTCCTCTTGACACTGCAGCTGCAGTCAACCTCTTCCCCAATTTTAATGCGGTAAGTCCTACTGTCAAATTTGCATATACCAGAGTGGTAAGTACTGGAAAACTTTCAAGGCCAGGGGTGAGTTGGTCACTACTTCTGTTTTGCTATGTTGTTTATCCTGTGGTTGTCTGAAGCCCAAGGCTAGGTTAGTTGCCTGCCTGGTTATGTAAAGTCCCCCCAGAGCCAGGCTCCTTCAAGGGAAAAATGAAAAGAGATTTAATCAATTGGGTTGATTATGAGTCCATGTCTCTCCTTTACTGTCTTTCTGAGTAACATTAACAATTTCGTTATCTTGTTGGAGTATATCTAAATTGAAATTTAATGAATTTGTTAGAACATTATAATTCAAGTAGATGTCTAAAACTTAAACATGTGTTTCTTCTGTCTGGGCCCTCTAATTTTAAAATCTGTTATATTTTTTTTTTTCTAATTTAATAAAGAGGACCCTGATAGTCACGATGGTGATACATTCCATGCTTAGAGTACTTTTTTTCCTTCTTAACTTAAAACAGCATTTGGTAGCAAGAGTTTTCCTCTTAATTTTTTTCTTCTCTGCTCAGCCAGTTACTCTGGTTAAGTCTTTCTTAAATTTCCTTGTTTGTGGGGGCGGTGGGGGTGTGGGGTAGGGGGGCGCGGTGCTTTGTCAACAGCTTTTTCAACACAAGTTGAATTACTTACTTGCTTCTATTTTCACTCCTAAGCATATCTTTATAAGTTGGCAAATTCCTCTTATTCATCATCTTTTTTGTGTGAGTGAGCATATTCTTAGGATGGAAATAGAAATACGAGTTGAAAAGGTTAGAACCCAGTAAGAGATTTTTTTTCTAATACTTTGTGATTCAGCTTTCAGCAGTTGTTATAATGCAGGTCTCAACTTATCAATGACAAGACATGTCAACACAACCAAAGCAAAGAGGATTAAGATGGGAGGTCATTGAATGTCTAGTGATCTAAATAATACAGATTTCTTGTTATAATATCTTGCCCCAATGACAGATTAAAAAACAAAAAATTTTGCCCCAAATCAGATCATTCTCCTTCAGAAGACAGTAGTGGATCTTATTTTCTTTAATAAAAGTTTGTCATGGGGACTTTGGACATGCCAGTGAGATAGTACACTTATGTGCTAGTCCTCACTAAAGGGCAAGGGACAATCATAATGATTGCTTCGATTTTTGTGGGGCTGAGAGAGTGTCCATAGGCATCTTATTTTGAAATCGATGGAGCATAAATTGAGCATCATGAAGACATCACATTTCCAAAGTAGAGATTTCTAATCCTGGGCATTTCAATGAAAGTAGAGGACAAATTGCTCATATTCCCTGATTTGTAAATGACCACACTGAAGTCCCTTGGGTTCCCTGTCTCCGAGCTTCTTGTCTGCTCTTCTGTTAAGTGCCTTCCTGGCACAGTCTTGCTTTCCAGATCCCCAGGGATGATCCATCAAGATGCTTTACCTGGCCTCTGAGACCACTTGGCATCCTGTCACTCAGGTCTCATGTCAGCTTTAGAGAACGTGAAGTAAAATTCCTGGAAAGCTGTAAAAGGCTGGGTTTAAAACTTTTGATTTGCCCTTTGGGAAACATTGAAAGCAAAATGATTAAGTTGATTAATATTGTTTGTCATAAAACAAAGATGAGCGATAGGCTGAGTTATATGACACTGAGCAACTCTCTTTACCCTCTTCGTTACAGTTTCCGACTTCCTCTTTAAAATAAGGAGAGTGGATCTGACAATCTCTTCTTTTAGGGGTTCTATTATTAAAACTTTTGAGCTTTTGTAGGCAAAGGCAGCATTGTATGCTTGTCAAGCTGGATTCTAGCTGGACTGACTTGGTTCAAATCTCAGAGCCGCTACTCACCATCACTATGACCTTGGGTAAATCACACAACCCTCATGTATCTCAATATCTTTATCTGAAAAATGGAGCTAATATGTAACCTATTTTGTAGGTGTATGATGCTTATGTGGATTAAATCATTTAGAATAGGGCTTAACATAAAATAAGCACTATTTGAATGATAAGTATTATGTTCATAGACTATAAACTCTTCTTATTTTGAATGGGGCAGTTCATCGACCTATTGCAAAAGTTTGATTTGATTTTTTTTTTCTGTGATGGATTTTGCTTGTGCTAGTATTTGTTCAATTTAAACCAAGAAACTCTCTATTACTACATCTATTGGTTATTTCCTTGCAGTGCTAGTCCAGTGCATCCATGGATGAAGACACTCTTTGCTCCAACTGAGGGGAGTGTTTGCAAAGTCCATACTTAGATGTCTTTGGACTCAGAATTAGGACATAGAGCATCTCTCTAAGTAAAAACTTTAGGACATAGAGCATCTCTCTAAGTAAAAACTTGAGTTCTTGATGTTGTAGCAGGTACAAATCTCAATCTACAAATTCAGGGTATATGGAATATAATTTTCTATTGTTGCGAGTTGATTTTATTTCTGGTTCAAGAGCTCATTCCATCAGACTGGAGGGAAATGCAATTTAATTTTGTGCTAAGGTTCAGGAATCTAAAGGTTATCCATCCAGCTTTTGGTAGGAGAATTCCTATGGTCATCAAGTTATTTATCCATGTAGGCACTCATCGATGGTCAGCACCTGGTTAGCGTGCCCGTCAGGCCACCAGCTATCAGATTTGAGCATATAAACTTTGTGAGACTGTCTGTGGTCCCTCATGCCTAGATTACTATACCACCTTAATATACAATCCTTAATATAAGGATTTAGGTGCTTCTTTGCCAAGGAAATGGTGAACCTTTCTGCCAATCAACAGCCTTCCCTCATCTGACCTTTTTGAAACAAAAGACTGTCTGCCTATTATATTCCTCCTCTGAGTTTATGAGTATGGAATCATCTCTCTATTTGGGGTAGAGTGAAGCACAGGGGTGAAGGAAATTTTAAAAAATGTATATATGTAAAATAAAATATATGAAAACATAAGTGGATATCTCTAATTATTTTTCTTCCACAGGATCATAAACCATTGGGTTTGGATGTGAGTCAGGAAGAATAATAAAACATCTGTAAAAATAAGTACAGTTAGGGGAAAAGGAAAACAGATGTAAGATCTGGGCTGGGATATTGATATAAAAGAGGATATTTGATAAAACCATTAGGATCTCTTAGTCTACCCAAAGCCAGTTTTTTAGAAATAGCAATAAAGCTGTTATCTTGACCTAAAGGTATTGTGTCATTCATGTTCCAGTAGCTTTCAGACAAGAGACATGAATTTCTCATGTACCCCCAGGCTGTTCCTAAATCTCTTAAGATGTTGGAGTTTTAGTGCTTAGGACCATTCTGGTCCCAGTGATCCCATTCTGAGAATGCATTTCTTGAAAGGAACCAATCCTAGAAGTAAGTAGAGGATGTTTAGGCAAGAAATATTAGGGAATGGTGTGAACTCGGTCCATTTAGATAACTACTTTTTTATTAAGCATCTATTATGTGGGAGGAATTATGATAACAAAGTTATGTTATTACCTCTGCCATGAAATAATTCCATCTATAAATGAGAAGTTGGACAAATAAATACAAATTTGTAAATATGAGTGCTTTTATAGAGAAATATGTACATAGGATTGAATGACAGTTTGGGGACAGTCGTGGAAGGCTGTGTGTGGTTGTCTTAGTGAGGGCCTGGTAAGAAAAATAGAAACTACTTTAGGCATGCAAACAGGAAAGGACTTAATATAAAGATTTAGGTGCTTACAGAACCTTTGGAGGTGCTGGCAAACAAGGGTCAGGGAAGGCTCTTTCTGGCTCTCAGTTTTTCTGTGTGCTTTCATAGAGTCAGGAAGTTGCAGAAACACAGGACACCCAGTAATCCCATGAAATACCACTCCTTAGTGGAATCTAAGCTTGAGCACTGCTGGCAGAGATGCATGGTCACATAAACCTCAGGCTTCCCATCTTTGTGATGGAAGAGAGAACATAGGAGAGGGGAAGCAGTGCTGAATATTGCCAGTAGAAGACTTGACATGATGGCATAAGAAAAACCTGAACAAGTCTGCAATCACGAGCAAGAGGCTAAATACATTGACACTCCAGTGTCCTGTCCAATAAAATAAGAATGACTAAATATCTCTCAGTTTTGTTATTGGAGGGGCGACTGAGTTTTAAAGTGCTGGAGACTGAAGCCGAGAATGGGCTTGAGTAAGACCTTGGAATGTTGTTTAGAAGGGGAGCTAATTATTCAAAAATGGCTATACTCCTTTACAATTTCTCTCCGGAGTCTCATGGCTTCCTTTTCGTCTTTCATTTCTCTAACTACTTTTTTCTTCGTATTCTGATCCATAGTTATGATAATGACGAACCTTCAAAATGTTGTTGGAAAGTTACAGCTTTTGGGGAATGTGTTCACGGACAGACTGTGAACCTGATTCCGTGCTCCCCTCCCATGGCTGTGTTTCCTGTAGGCATAAAGGTTTAATGGATAAACTGACCTAATGTACCAGCATAACTCAATACTCAATAAGTATTGAGCCTGCCCTTCCAGGAGACGCACAAGGAAAAGTAAGGAGGTTGCACAGAGGATAGAGAGGCAGAAAAGTGGGCAAATACAGACTATTTCGCTTTCAGTTGGCTTTGGCTAATATTCTTCAACATTAAAAAAGTAAATTAGCATAGAATTTTGACTCTGTGCTGCTTCTCTGTATAATAAGATTTCATTATCGGAGAGGGAGCTACGGGCAAAGGGATGGGGAAAGAGAAAGACTAAGAAAGAAAAAGGTTGAATCGTAGCATGTGACTCTAGTTATTCTTGTTTCCCAAAAACACCAGTGTTCCTAGAAGCCTGAGTGTGGCTTAGTTTGGGTTTGAGTTTAAAAGTTTTATCGGCTGGATGGCAGGAAAGTGAAATTTATGTGAGTCGTAGCAGTGCTTCTCATACTCTGGGGTGCAGGTGAATCAGAAGAGGATCATGCTGAAGGGCAGATTCTGATTCAGTAGTTCGGGTGGGGCCTGAGATTTTGAACATATGTGGGTGGAGGGAGGGGAAGCCA